GGGGGGGGGGGGGGGGGGGGGGGGGATAAAGCGCCAGTAAGTTACCAATAAGGTGAACATTTTGCCGGAATGATACGCTGAATCTGGCAGCTGAATATGGAAGTCAACAGTCATCGCTCAACGGTTGAAATTTCGCAAATTCGAGTTATATCAACACCATGGTTATATTCATCCAGATGTGTATCAAATATACTTGAATAGTTCAGACAAATCTGACATTATCGCTAAGATTCGTTGCCGAACGATGACTCAGGGCCGATGACTTTCACATTCAAGCCCAAAGACATAAAGACGGAGCACTAAAAGCAAAAAATGAAGCTTCTAGAGCTTCTTTTCAATCACCTCTACTATTGGCTAGAGGATTGGCGGCGAAATCGGGACAAGTTTGAATTCAAATGTAGGGCGGGAACTAATAAATAAAATTGCGGAAACAAAGTATTTTAGGTTGATTTTTGCCCAAATTCAGGTACACACTCATATTTTTTTAACTTTAGGTTAGTTTCAGTCCGTCGTCGACCGATTAATTTCATTTGGGAGTAACGTTGATCTAGAACTGTAACGGCCTGTTTGAACCTGCAGAACCACAATGAGCAGAAGAAAAACTAACTTTATGTGAGATTACTGCCTGTTACCGAGCAAAAGTAGGTGTATTCTATTAGGACGCAGATCGAACTTTCTTAGTATATTCGTTTTAGGAATTTAAAATACGTTTCAAAGAAGAAATGTGCAAAAATCAAGAGGACAAGTTCAAATCATGGATTCCCGCGCTCATTTACACACTCACACAAGCGCGCAGCGCCGAACCTAGCTTCACTTTTTTCCCGTGCTTTTAGATACGAGCGCTCCGTCTTTATGTCTTTGTTCAAGCCACATTCAGCTCCCACATTCGCGTGTAATTGCGACAAAAAGCGGATAAAGAATGGTGGTCGCAGTCGCATTTCGTACCCTCTTGTCGTCACACGCCATCGGGTACGTTTTGGGCACACCATGCTTGCATGGCAAAGCATGTACCCTCTGCGCGTCACAGCCTTTAAAATGGTGGCTCAACTCAAGATGCGACCACCTTTCTTCATCCGCCTTGATTGCGGCATTTCAAAGAAATATCTCTTTCCTCGAGGGAGGTATCGAGGTCCTGCGGGAAAAGGGTGCATCACTTTAGAAACCCAGTCCATTGTGTGTATTCAATAATATTCAACATTAGTTAAGTAGACAAAAATAAATAAAATAATGTATGTGCATATAGATCTGCTGCTTGTCTTGAACAAAAAGGATACAGACTTTATTGCAGCGGAAATCTTTCTGATCCCGCTCAGTAATCGAATGTCAGAAAGTCCGTCAATTTGAAAGAAATCGCGGCATTTTAAAATGACCGCTAAAGAACAGAGTTTTTGGCGCGCGCGATCTGGATTTTCGGCCGGGCTCGGCTGGCTCGGCCCTTTCCGTCATGTCTTCGGTCATTTCCGGTTCTAGCCCGAAGCTAAACATAATTTCATTTTTTCAGTTCCGTTTCTTCTAACCTATAACCCACAAATTCTACAAGTTCTAGTTCTACAACAAGTTCTACAATCATCATCCATGTTGTGACTCCATGATGTTGTGTTGAGTTCTTGTGTTCTCCATCTCTGGAGTTTCAGTTGGTTCAGTTTTCGGAGATTACAAAATGTGAATAATGTGATTCGCCTTTACCATCGTGCACTGTTTTTCAGTGCGAGCGAGCCAAATTATGTCCCTCAGAAGTTGCCTCGTCTTCTTGCGCGTGTCGAGGTTTTATGAACACACAGCCGAATGCAACACGTGATGGCAGTTATTCATGATTTTCTCAATTTCTGCCGGTCATGCAGATTGGAAATATTCATCGTGCTTATCTTTACCACCTTCTTCTTCTCCTGGTGCCTATTGATTGCCTTTGGTGAGTCTTTGTTTCCTTCCAAACGATTCACCTAGTGGATTCCAAGATTCTGCTCACACTTTCGTCAGACCCTTCGTTTTTGCATTGCTCTGTGCTTGAATATGCTCTGAGCTTTGCTGATTAGGATTATTTAATTTACTGGTAATTTCATTTATTGGAAACCGTGTCAACCAATAATGCGGTCGTCTTATAATCACGTAACACAACCTAGACTGGGCATTTGGATATTCTAGTGAGACGACAGGCAATCCGGATTGTATGTACTACTGCCCAGACGTGTTGCCAGCAACTTTAAGTGCCTATGAAGACTCTGCAAACGCAAATTACCCTTGGTTAAAATAGATGCAAGGCTGCACTCATAACCCATGTAATGAGCGGCACGCGTTATTACATGTTTATCGGGTCGCAGCAACTCACATGAAGGCGCCTTCATACTCCCTTAACTGTTTCACCTTATCTGCGTTAGGTCAAACCTTATGCCCTGTCTAGATTGTGTTGTAAGCCTACGGGTCGTCACCAGAGAAACAAAGAGACCCAAGGCGAAAAGTTCAAAGCTTGCCACGAACTCTAATTTATCTTCTCCTAAACTCAATCAATCCTCCCTTTCAATCAGAATTCACGTTCGCTTCCCCCTGTAAGCTTTAAAAAAAAAGAGAATCTATTACTCCAACTTTTAATATTTCACTGCCTAAATGTCACATTTCGTTTGGGGCTCTCCCGATTTGTCCTGTTTTCATGTTGGTTCCCCTGGTTTTCCCATTCTTCCTAGGCTTCCCCTATTTCATACCGGCACTTGAGTGAATCAAAAAATCAGGAAGTTCCTCTACCCGTGAGAGACCCGCCACCAAACTTCTGGCGCTAAGAGAAACTTCTTCTTTCAGAGTTTTGTCACTTATCTTCAAAAGTTAGAACTGGGGAACGAAAAAAATAGACAAATGTCACATCAGAGAATGGCACCATTCAACATAAATTTTAACCAATGGGCCCACTGATGAGTGATGCACCCAGATGCACGTGACATTTGTCTGTTCTTTTCTCTTCCCAGTTCTACCAGTAAGCTTTCTCCTGGAAGATAAAGTCCCTTATCAAAGATCTGTTTAGCAATACAGTTGTAGCATTGCAACGCTTCAGTGAACTTCAGTGAGGTGAAATGACTCACACTCCTCTTACACACTTCGATTAATAGGACTTACTTACATTTTTCCCAACACTTACTGCCACTGAACAAGAATTGTCTAATTTTTTAAAAGTTCTGCCAACATGCTTTCTGCAAGAAGCAAAATTTATATATGCTATCAATTCAAAGTTGCAAGAAGTAAAAACATGGCAGCATGATACAGAGTGATGTACAATTGTTGAATTTGAACATTTATAAGATTCAGGTCTTCAATTTTGTAATAGCAAGTAAAGATGAATGGCTGCAGGGAGTAATGGGGAGACGAAATGCTGCAGTATGTAGGCTGATTATTGGCCATAGTAATTGCAAAAAAATTCATACAGCCAGCAGATGATGTCAGGTTGGCTAGTTCTAACATACAAACTGAGAATATCATTAATATAAACTTCGAAGGATTCTGCCTTTTTCTATTTCACTCGAGGGGAAGTGTCCCTTCCCGGACTCTCTTCCCCACCCGGTGACTGACGCTGCGCTGTGCTGAACGGTTCAGCCTGAACCTTTCCCCTACGTCTGACCGTTCCCCACTCCTCTGTCAATCGAACCATATGCCACCGCTTACGTATTGTCGCTCGCCCACCCAGGTACCTAGCGGCCAGCGGTCAGTTGATGATAAATCTCGCTCATGCTCCTATGCAGCTACGCATTGATTACGCCAGCTAATTACTTTCTAATAATTAGAATTTCTCCGATAATAGTTTTCTTTATTTATTCGACTGTATTTTTTTCTCTGTTCTACTGTGATTTCCTTGGTTCTCTACTGTGTTTTTCCTAAATCTCTGAGTCAGAAATCTGAAGCACTTCGGTATGCACCGAGTACTTCAGATGTGTGACCTGAAACCTTCGGTATATACCGAACTACTTCAATTGTCTGACCCGAACTTCGACAGATGGACCTTAACTTTTCGGATGCGTGATCCGAAAACCTCAGAGATCCATATGATCTCAGCTTCGGGTTCCATGCACAAATTTTTTTCACCGTGTTTCCTTTTAGGGGACGCAACTAAAATTTCAGTAAATTTTTTTCAGAAAAGTAAAGAAAAAAAAAAAAAAGTGGCTAACGACGGTTCCTCACCTTCACGTGGTGTTGGCTGTTTTTACTAACAATAAGTGGGAACCGTCCATTTTAAGATATAGTCTATTTCTTGCCCTGCCATTATTATTCTACAAGCTAATTGAGGAGTGAGAATTTCATAATGTTTTCTATGAAATCTTCAAAATATAGTGATAAAAAATTTGCAACTACTACAAAATTGGCTCGCGAAGCGAGCCGAATGTCACTCGCGTAGCGAGTGACCGGGGGTCCAGGGGGCTTAGCCCCCGGCTAGGCGTGACGGGCGCGCGAAGCGCGCCCAGAACGGCTAGTACATTTCTAAAAATGCAGTTTCTTCACCGGAGAGTGACCATTTGGTGCACATACTAATGGTTTAATTTCCAGGATATCGCCAAATTTCATCCAGATTTCTGTCTTGTATGAATCAATATACCAACCAATAGCCAACTAGTGAAGGGTTGATTCAACTTTATTCTCTTGTTTTTTTGTTTACCAGAGGCTGATGGAAAAAGCACCAGAAATTTGGTTCAGCGCAGACATAGAGATTCACTCCACAAACTTGGGGTGATAGTCCCTTTTCGAGATAGATTTGATGAATTACTTGAGTTTATTCCACACATGCAGTTGTTCCTAAATAACCAGAGTGTTTGGCATCAAATTTACATCGTCAATCAAGTATGTTTCAGGTATCTTTTTTGGAAATTTTTCTTGTGAAAATGGGGTTGTTGCATGGGTGAAGGATTTGAGAATAAAAATACTTAGTTGTAGAACTTTTCTTGACAAAAACGATGGGAACGTTGATAAAGTAAAAAATCAAGTCCTAGAGCCCAAAAAAACTCGCTAAAGTTTCATCAAATTCAAGTTGGAAAAAAACAATTTTTATTGGCTGCATCTTAGGTGGTCAAACTATGCGTCACACTGCATGGGAGTCTCTCCCCGCTGCCATTACCCACATTTTGACCCTCGTGTTTATCTGGTGGTGGGGAAGTTACGTTAAGCTCATCTCGAGATTGGAGATATTGTTTACAATTTGAAAAATTAGGCCTTGATTGAGTGATGACTTCTCATAATATTGCCAATGTGCAGCAAGTTGACACCGTTAATGCTACAGCACAGATAATTGATTCGAATTGATCTGTTTACATTGGTTGCGAGAAGAGAGGTAAGTATTGCATTATTGTGAATCCAACTCGACATAATTGAATTCCTGTTGTGATGTTGAGACTAATAGGGTCTTCACCTAATTTTATTGATTGTGTGAAATTTGAGGAAAATCTTGGAAAGCGAGAAAATACAGAACTAAGAGGAAATATATTTCAATGAAGAGAAACAGAAAATTTTAATATAATGTGGGGGGAAAAGCATCATGTACTGTGTGTTTTATCATAAACTTACTAATTATTTTTACCGAATTGTTTTGGCCAGAGTCATCAGAAGAGTTTTAATCCACCAAAAATTATTAAAGTAATTGCTTATACAACTAGAGTTTGCTGAATTATTAGAAGAATCAAGAATTTCATAGTGACCGAATATAAATCGTAAAAGAGGAAAATTGTAAAAGAAGGAATCGAAGGAATATTTGAGGGATAATGTGGAATCTAAATCTGAGAACTGCCATGGGGTTGTTGAAAATCTTTGACAGATTGTGAGAAACAGTTCACATTACTTAGGTACGTAGTTTTCTGTGGCCCTGGATACTACTCTTCATTATAGTGTTTTGGAGTTCTCTGCTTCCTTGCGTTGTACCAACTGCCATTTGTTAACCTAATCTAATTTTTGGTTTTTATTCTGATGTAGGTTGACGATTATAGATTCAATAGAGCAAGTTTGATCAATGCTGGGTTTCTATTCTCCACATCAAGTGCTGAGTCTTGCGATTACATTGCAATGCATGACGTTGATCTTCTTCCGTTGAATCAACAGCTGCGCTACTCGTTTCCCACCTCCGGACCAGTTCATTTGGCTGCTCCTCACCTACATCCCAAGTATCACTATCAGACCTTTGTTGGTGGAATTCTGCTGATTTTAAAGTAAGTTGACCATTTTACACCAATGGGTCAATTGCGCTGGTCACAAAATCATGTTTTGGTGCTTGATTCTTGTAGTTTCAGCCAAAAATAATAAGATTTATCCGAACAGCAACTCTCTACGTTCAGTAGTAACCGAGATGTGGCGCTTTGAAAAAGGGGGAGTATCGTTCAGGGTCTTTTCTGGCCCCACCTGCATTTTGCTGAATGTTTCATATTTTCAAAGTACCAGTCCTTGGTAGACTTCATGCCGAATACTTTACCGAACGGAGCCTGTGCTAAGGTGCAGCAGCGCCTCAAACCCAAAATCCTGGCACTGAAAAATAGCTATGTTAGTCGACTTTTTCGACTGTTTTCACTTTTAATCAAAACATTTCAGAAAATAAACCTCATAGTTTCATTTTTCATGTATTGTAGTTTCAGCAGTGAAGGTTCCAAAACACCCGAACCGAGAAGTGCCCTTTCTGCACCCGATGCCTCAATTGTATTGATTCATTTTTTGTATCAACAGCATTTTCCTCCTGCTCAGCTAGGCCGTAGGATTTTTTCTGTAAAACATGTATCTCATGTTCATTCCATTCATTAAAGGGCTCTGTGGAATGAAAGTGCAGTATTTCTCATGTGTAACATTATTTCAAAGTACACATTTGTTTTAACTGGTCTTTTTTGAATTTTTTAGAGAATCAATCGTTCTGAAGAATGACCAATGAAGCAAAAGAAATTGTTAGATCATCCATTTTAGATTTTATGATTTCCCTCACAGCGAACCTGGTCACCCGCCACTGCAGAAAAATTTGTAAATATGTAACATAAACTGCACGAATTAAATTCCAAGGAGAAGATTTTAGACACTTCTCCCAAGCGTAATTTGACTTTCATGCAATCCCATTTATGGGCTGATTATTGAAATTGAGAAGATGCTTGGAGCGATCCTATTGGTGGGAGTGAGTTATTATAATAGACGAACTAATGTTAACTCCTGAGATATCCTGTAGTTTCTCTTTCATTTTCCCCCTCAGTCTATGATAACTCTCTATTTCAAGTGAACGGATCGATAAATTTTTCCTGTGTCTTTTTTGTCTGTCACTTTGTTTATCATTTTCAGCCCCTTGTTGAATAAAATAACAACTTAATTTGGGGAAAGGCTGCAAAATGGGGACAAATCAAAAGAAAAACCCGGAACGTTCCGAAATAGTTACCATTCTACTATCAACAAATATTATCTTGGTACCTGAAATTCCTGGCATTCTTTATGAGTTTTCTCATTTTCATTGCTTGGTTCCACAGAACCCTTCAATGAATAGAATGAACATGAGAAACATGTTTTACAGAAAAAATTCTACGGCCTAGCTGAGCAGGATGAAAATGCTGTTGAAACAATAATTTAAAAAAAATGAGTCGTCGATTCCCTTGTAGAATGTTCAGGTTCACTCAGTTGGTTGAATCTCTTGCAAGCAACATATCCATATAGACTACTCTATCGACATGAAAAACTTAGGAAAACCCATGAAATCTAGAAAACTTTAAGAACAGTCAGATTCTCAATATATTCGTATTCTGTCTTCAGAAGAACTTGTCAGTAATCATGTTTTTAATTTTTTTAGAGACCATTTTGTGCAAGTGAATGGAATGAGTAACAGATACTGGGGCTGGGGGCTTGAAGACGATGAATTTTATGTTCGTCTGAAACAAGGTGGTCTGACAATTCATCGCCCTGGAAATCTATCCACCGGTATTAATAACACCTTCAGGTAAGTCAGAGCTCTGCGTTTTGTTTCTCTCAGTTTTCCAGTTACTGCATAGTACGCCTGGTACTATATTCTTCTTTAATAGGTCACTAATTCATGAACAAATTTTGACTTGTGAATACATTTTTCCAATTGTAAGCAATGCACAGAATCTGATGTGCACATTGAAAACGAAAAAAACTAACGCAGAAACAGAGAAATATGCAGTTTGAAAAGCACAACTTTTCTGCAAATTTAAAATGCCCTGGTAGTCCAGGCAAATAAGCCATGAAAAGGGCTATAGCCTGCAAAAATCCCGGGTAGCAATGTTTTAATCGATTCCTATGTAATTTTTGACGCTGAATCCGAATTTCAACTTTGCGCCATTAAATTCGGACCGGAAAGTTGCCAAATTTGGCAAAAATGGCCTAAAATCGGACTTTTTTCCGGATTATGGCCTGTAACTTGCCTAAAATTGATCTGACGATAAAATTAGTTATTTTCAGAAATAAAGCTCGTTAAATTTCCTATAAAAAAGTTCCAATACACTTTTTTGCTCAAGGCAAAACCAAGCGCGCTGGCGGGCTCCAAACTTTGAAAAATGAGCGAAAATTCGGTTATTCGCGGGTTTTGGCCTGTGACTCGTCCAAAATTGATCTAACGACAATTTGGTTGTTTTAAAAAAAAAGTTCGTTGAATTTCCCATAAAAAAGTTCCTATACACTTTTTTGCTCAAGGCAAAATTAAGCGCGCTGGCGAACACCGATCTTTGAAAAATGAACGAAAATTGCGTTTTTTTGCGGTTTTTGCAAAAATCCCGGGTAGTTATGCTTTCAGTGATTTCTACGTAATTTTTGACGCTGAATCCGAATTTCAACTTTGTACCATTAAATTCCGACCGGAAAGTTGCCAAATTTGGCAAAAATGGCCTAAAATCGGCCCTTTTTCTGGATTATGACCTGTAACTTGCTTAAAATTGATCTGACGATAAAATTAGTTATTTTCAGAAATAAAGTTCGTTAAATTTCCAAAAAAAAGTTCCTATACATTTTTTTGCTCAATGCAAAATCAAGCGCGCTGGCGGGCTCCGAACTTTGAAAAATGAGCAAAAATTGTGTTTTTCGCGGTATTTGCCCGAGGTTTCCTGTTTTAATCGTCCGACGAGTAATTTCTGGACAAATTAAGTGAAAATGAGAAAATTTACACTTAGTGAAATGAATTGATGTAAATAATAAGGATAACCCAACACATTACAGTATGCGCAATTTTCGCACATTTTACAAAGTTCGGAGCCCGCCAGCGTGCTTGATTTTGCCTTGAGCAAAAAAGTGTATTGGAACTTTTTTATAGGAAATTTAACGAGCTTTATTTCTGAAAATAACTAATTTTATCGTCAGATCAATTTTTGGCAAGTTACAGGCCATAATCCGGAAAAAAGTCCGATTTTAGGCCATTTTTGCCAAATTTGGCAACTTTCCGGTCCGAATTTAATGGCGCAAAGTTGAAATTCGGATTCAGCGTCAAAAATTACATAGGAATCGATTAAAACATTGCTACCCGGGATTTTTGCAGGCTCTTTTCCTTGTTTGCCTGGACTATGGTTTCCATGATGTCAAACCAAATAATGTCATTCGGCATTTCTAGTACACATCTGGGCAAAGTTACAATTTAGCCAAAAAATTTCCTTCTTTTTTTCATTCATTCTTACATTCAATTCGCTCAGTGAAAAATACTTCAAAACCCTCTTAGAGGAAGTTGATAATCCGCTTCTCATAGAATTAGGAAGCTCGTGAAAATTCGGCCCATTTGAAGAAGGGACATTTTCAGGGACATGTGCCAGCAAGCCTTTTTTCAAGCTTACAGAATTTTGAGTGATGTTCTTAACTCTCCATAAGAGGGCTATCAAAAAACATGCACATCAAATTTTCTCAAAAATACCTACCCCCACCCCTAGAGAGTTTAAATCTGTCAAAAAGTTAATTTTGATAAAAACAGACCTGAGCGTGCCCTTTTTCTAATTTGAACATTTATCTACCGAAGCCCGATTGAACCCGCAGGGAAGGTAGTAATCGGAAATCTTAAGGCTCTATTTGGTTTTTCATAGGTGTTTGACTGCTAGATAGATCTTGTAGAATAGCTGTGCATAGTAAAAATAAAATGTAGAGAGGCTAGGAACTTGAGCATTTGGAATATTTGTAAATGTTAGTACTAAGTTAGAAAAAAATTCAAGAAGACTTGTTAATTATAACTGTAGAACTGTAGAAAAGTACACCAACTGTATTTCGCTCAATGAAGCACACTGAAAATATTTTATTCCAATCATAAATTATTTTGCAGGCATTCTCACAATTCAAGAAGGAAAAGAGATCACATAAAGTGTTTTAATCAGTATGAAAACACCCGCAAAAGAGACAGGGCAACTGGCTTGAACACGCTTAAGTACTCGCTGATTTCGACGCACTCTCTCCTGATGGATAACTTGGCTCCAGTAACTGTTCTCAATGTGCAGCTCTTCTGCGATGAGAAGCTAACCCCCTGGTGTAGATGTCCAGACAAGAAACCTGCGACTCAAGCAAGGAAGGGCAGTATTGAAGGTAAGAGCAGTAGAATCGAACCCAAAGCAAGATAACCTCCTTTTAACATTGCCTTGAAATCCAATGACTAGTTGCTTTTTATGCAAGGAAAATTCCCAGTTTATCCAACTTGTGTTTGGCCTGAGCAAGCATTTATTTTCCATCAATGCAACATTTTTGCAACCTGTGGATCTGACATGGAACATTGTGCAAAACAATGTTTATGATGCTAAAAGAAGAAGTGTCACCATCATTTCATTCAGCAGTGATTAACTTATTGTTGGTTCTCGCCTAATGGATGAGTTGTTGTTCCTCGTAGGACGGAAGAGTTGTTCCTTATTTTCCTCAAAGAATTTCTTCCGCACATAAAAAAATGAGTTTCGTTCATCAAATTATGTGAGCAGATCAGGAATTGATAATTATCCAAAAGGAGTAATTCTCAGCTATCTAGTACAGAATTTTTTGTTGTCAGCATAAAGGTCTGTCACGCTTGCTTTTCATTTTACCCTCCTAGGTTATCAACTAATTTTGTTTTCACTACAAGACTAAAAGCAATTGTCAATAAGTGATTCAAAAAAAAGAAGAAGAAAAAAAAAACCTTTCAAATTCTCATGAGTTTATCAAATTGTTTTGAATTGCCTAACCAGACAAATTATTGATTCCTGAATTTCTGTCCATCACCATCAAGACTGCTGTACACTCATATTTATCATAATTGATTATTGTATCGTTTTGTGTAAGGAAATTGTCCTCTTACAATTTCCTGTCAATTGATTTGTCGACTGGTGTTGGTACTTATTGGATTGAGTTCCATTGAAAGTGACTTTGGTCAAGGTCACCAGCTATATTTTCTTCCAAGAAAGAGCATATCAAAATCCAATGAACGTCCGTTCATAGTAAAACTTGCAGGATCATTTGATAATTTTGCTGTGCTCTGGTGCTACCAGTGCCGTTAATCAATCCCATTTTCTGATTGGCTTCCAGTCCTCCCGGTATTTCTCAAAATTAAAAAAAAATATCCTGTTAAAGGGTCACCTAAAAGATTGAAAAATGAACCTTCAATCCCACACCTTTGAGTGTGTCCAATGGTGCCACAATTATGTGCCGTGTGCCTGGCTGGGGCTCGACCATTAGAAACAACGAAAAACAGGAAGACAAAATAAAAAAATAAAATTAGAAAGAGCATATGAAAAAGTTAAAACAATTTGAACACGAATTAATTACAGACGAAAAAGTTTTCAAACAAAGTCGAGGACCTTATTCGTTTCTGGGCAAGGTTAGCGTGTTGTGCAAGCATATAATATATTCCTTCCACAATCGTTCGTACTCTGTCCATTGTGCATTGTGCAATCTTGACATTTCGATGAACAGGTATATGGAACCCCTATTTTATAAGTGAATAGTTGCAGGGTTGGACACTACTGTGATGTCAATGAAATGAAGTAAAGAGTTAAAAATAAAATTAAAAAGCGCACGTGAAGAAGTTAAAACAATTTAAACACGAATTAATTAAAGATGAAAAAATTTTCAAAAGAAGTTGAGAAACTTATTGGTTTCTGAGCAAGGTTGGCTTGTTTTACAAGCATTTAATATATTCCTTCCACAACCGTTTGTACTCTGTCCATAGTGCATGGTGCGATCTTGACATTTCGATGAACAGGTACATGGACCATCCGATTATACACCTAAAACGATAATCAGAAATTATATGGACCATCCGATTATACATCTAGAACGATAATCAGAAATGCTATCACAAGAACGTGTTCAGGAATAAGTAGTGCCCACAACCTGGAAAAAAATGAAGTTTAAAAGTTACAGTCTAGTTAGTAACTGCTTAAAATCGAGCGTCCGAGGAACAATCTTATATGTTGCATCAATTTGCAATGTGCAACCAGGTCTTAAAAGGAATTGAACATTGGCACTTGCGAAAAAAGCAATGTTGCCAAAATCACCTGAACGAGCCTGCAAAAATTTCATATCACATAGTGAAAATTACTGAACAAAATAAAGAAAGTAACACTGATAGTTGTGCAGAAATACAATAGAAAAATTTACTAGTACTCAATGCCACTGCCATGCTTTCCCTTCGAAAAGGTTTTGACTGTACGTAAACGAATACCATTCAATAAATGAAGACAATTCACACCTTCATCGCCTGCGTGTTGTTTTGCTCCTTGTCTTGGACTTGGGTCCGTTCTTTGTACAAAATAAATAATTTCGAGGAAAACTGTAGGTAGGGGAGACTTGCACAAAATGAAGTTTAAAAGTTACAGTCTAGTTAGTAACTGCTTAAAATCGAGCGTCCGAGGAACAATCTTATATGTTGCATCAATTTGCAATGTGCAACCAGGTCTTAAAAGGAATTGAACATTGGCACTTGCGAAAAAAGCAATGTTGCCAAAATCACCTGTACGAGCCTGCAAAAATTTCATATCACATAGTGAAAATTACTGAACAAAATAAAGAAAGTAACACTGATAGTTGTGCAGAAGTACTATAGAAAAATTTACTAGTACTCAATGCCACTGCCATGCTTTCCCTTCTAAAAGGTTTTGACTGTACGTAAACGAATACCATTCAATAAATGAAGACAATTCACACCTTCATCGCCTGCGTGTTGTTTTGCTCCTTGTCTTGGACTTGGGTCCGTTCTTTGTACAAAATAAATAATTTCGAGGAAAACTGTAGGTAGGGGAGACTTGCAACTTAGCAAAAGGGGGTACGTTCCTATTGTCTTTCGCCATATATGTATAAAATCTTATGGCATTTCATACCTAAGAGGACCCATCTTAAAATATCAAAGCTCAGGATATAGTGTGCACTTCTAGTTAAGAGAATTATTTACCGTGAAACTTCAACAACCACTTTGGTTCATTCTCCTAATGAATTCAATGTGTAATCATTTACTTAACCCCAAGGCTTTCTCAGATGAGATGAGGTTCTGAACTTCTTGTGATTTTCTTTTTTCACAAGAAAGCCAATACAGACATCACCCTCAACATGCCTCTTACTCTTCGGTTATTTAAAACAAAAAAATAATAAATAAATTAATTAATTAATTAATTAAATATCAACTAAAACGAATTCCCATTTTTCCACCTAAAAATAATGAGATGAATGAGTTTAGAAACCCTGCAATCATAAATGTCCTGGTGATTGGAAAGCCACAAATTAGAGCCACACATGTGTACAAACAATGAAAGAAGATTATTACCGCTCTGAAATATGCGGCTCCATTTAAAAGATGCCGCCTGTCCTGTCAGAATCTGCCCTAATTTAAGTTTTTCTCATTCATTCTAGTCTTCAATAATGATGAAACTTTTCACATTGAAATGCAGGTGTACTGTATAAGTGATCTATGAATAAATGATCAGCATAATAATAACCTCACCTGACACGGTTCACATCATAAATTTGCCTAGCAGTTAGCCCTGTGAGAGGCGCCTCTCTAGCTGCCTGTAAAATTTCATTGCGAGCAATTCTGGCCAAAATAAAGTTGGGGTCTGGGAAGCAAACATGGTGTTTATTCAACCAAATTTCACCAAAAGTTCTTTCATCTCCTTGCTGGATTACTTCGGCAGTAGCTGTAGCTATAAAAAAGAAGACACACAATGTAAGACTGGTTGGTTTCGCTAATACTTAGGGAATAGGTTCATAAAAGAGAATCAATGAATGAACAGTATAGAAAATCATTGGGGAGAGCAACGGAAAGGAAATTTTTACGGTACGTCAAATTTAGCCTATTACTTGGATTATTTTGGTTAGGTATAAATGGAGTATTCCGCCTGTATTTTAGCACTACGTTACGCCACCATGTACCGCTCCTGTAAAACATTTTCAGACCTCCTCCCTTTTTCCAAAGAGCGACACTTATTTTAAAATTGGCTCCAAATATAACTGTCGTTTTGATTCTGAAGGATAAGCTGCAGTGTCCGGGATCCAAGAGGTAGATACCAGTGAGATCGTGTTCCTCTGAGTGATGAGGGCAGTTGAGCGTGATATGTTCAATTGTTAGGAAAATACCTGACAGTTTGTTAGATTCAGGGACGTTCTCTAAGTGGTTGACCGACACGTCTACCTTGGCGTGTTAACTGTGTTCGGATGTGAGTGTGTCGAGTATTCCGGCTTCGCAAGTGGCTGCAACGCTGGTGTCGGGGTTTGCACATTGCAGATGTGACAGGCGTTTGACTTCGTGAGCAAAGCTTAAGTTGTCACCTTCAATGTAAAATATATCCCTATAGTCTTTAGCGATTGATTCCTGGGTTGCATACTCCTCGGTGTTCAGGTGTGTAGTACGTAGGATGGTCATGTCGAATCGGTTTTCGTTTACCTCATACTGGTTGCAATTTGGTAATTTGTCTTGATAATCCTTTGTGAAGAATTCGCTCAGAGGTTGTCCGGGTATAGGTTTCTTTAAAGTGATTATATTAAAACGTGAGTGATTGCAATGAGGTAACAGCTGGATTGCAAGTGCACCAAGTCACATCAATGTTGCAGCAAGAAAAACAGGTTTACACCCCTTTTTTTTATACTTTTGAAGAGTGAATGCTAGGGGCAGGAACACCTATGTTCTGTTTTAAAAGAAAATCTTTTATCGCCTCTCAATTTTTGGCAAGACACCATTTTTTCGAAAAGTTTACCTCCAAAGGAAAACATTAACCCAATTGTCCAAGATGGTACTTGTTGCGTTTCTAGTTAACTCGGTCTAGTTGGCCTCTTGCTACTATCGGGAATTCTGTCCAGAAAATTCTGTCAATTCTAGATTTAGGGCCGCTACTTTTACCAGCATAGGGACCAGGTTTTTAAGAAATGCAACACCGTTTTTTTGTTTTTTTTTCTTTTATTTATTTATTCAGTAAGTAAACAAATTTACAAAAGAAAAGAAAATGAAAGAAGAAACTTATAAGAACATAAGAAAATAAACAGAAAGTTATCAAAAAAGGAAACAAAAGCTGTATAAAAGTTATAAAGAAATTAAACCCACCAAAAAAAACTTAACTAAAAAATATATTAGGAATAACACAGGCATAATTTGAACACTGTGGCGAGATCATATAGTTAGGACACTCAGGATACTCAGCATTCTCAACATTCTCAGCATACTCAGCATACTCAGCATACTCAGCATACTCAGGATACTCAGCATCACCAATTCTGCAAAATAATATCAAAACATTATGGCAATTAGAAAAAATTCAGTAATAGGAAACATTGATAAGTATACTGACACAAGAAAGCAAAGCGAATTGGACGGTTCATAGTAATGAACTTGTGCCGATCAATTTAATCACGTCCCCCGGGCAAACATACGAAATTCTGGGATATCTCCAGGGATTGAGACGTGGTTTTTTGGGTAGTAAGGATGGCCAATCTTTCTGACAGCCGAATAATGCTGTCCATCAAGATGAACTAGTAATGGGGACCTTCTGGAAGTAGGTGCAGCAGGAGAAACTCTATACCATTTTTTACTTCCTGCCTCAAACGTATCAATATGCCTTCCTAAAATGTTACTCAAGAGACAAATTTCCACTATTTCGGCAAACCTACTTGTATCGAGTACTGATGTTGATGTCGTTGTTTCATCAAAAAAAACTCTATTTTTTAAATAATTACAGTATGCATCGTTGAAACATATGTGAGCTGAAACTAAAGCTCTTAATGTAAATGATAAGCATTCTGAGCCGGTGAACAGGAGGCTAATTGCGTTGTAAAAGCAGCTACCATCACCGGTTGTTGGAATTTTTTGGAACTGATTATCAAAAATAGTGTAATTTGTATGTTTGCCGTTATAGAGGGGCATTTGTTTTACAAAATTGGATAAATCGGTGATTAAATCAATACATTGTTCGATTGATGACCCTGCTCTTAACAATTGGAATAAACGATGCCCATCGGTGGAAACATTCTGTAATTTAATAGATTTTATAGGAACAGCTGTGATAGCCTCACATGGTGAAACAACAGAGGGCTCCTCCATTTCTATTTCTTGAACATAATCAAGGAGACACAAAACGGGTTTATGATAACTGAAATAACTTTCTGAATATCCAGCATACAAGTTACATTGAGAGGTACTAAAGCAAATATCAATTTGTGTGCCTCCATCCGTGGATGATTCCTTATTATCAATGCAGTTTACCAGATTTGGATAGGTTTCACTCAGAAATCGGGAAAAGAGAGTCTGCGATTCTTGAACAATATTTTGATTAAAATCACCTATTAAAATTACTTTTGAGGACGCCTCAAAACCTGAAGTCAACATTTCCTTAAAATGTAATTGCACCACAGAAAATGAAGTTGATGGAGGTATATAGCCAGTACAAATTGCATAATCCTCATAGACTAACACAAATAAATTGTGAGCCGTACCCTTATTTCTGATGAACTTTCGAAAATAATGTTACATTCCTCGTTAAGTTTGGCATATACAATTACACCATGTGCATGCGCAACATTCCGATACACATCTTGTCTTCCAACAACATAGAAGTTGGGATATTCTGGAAAGTCTGTCGGTTTTAGCCAAGATTCGGCCAAAATCAGAATGTTCGAGCATTGGTAATTTAGGTCATTTTTAATATCCTGAAAATGAGCATTCAAGCTCTGGACATTGTGATACAATATGATTCTGTTCCTAGGGAAATTGTTAGCAAAAAGACAGGAAAATTTAATTTTTTTACGTCGAAGAGATTTTATCGCTAATTGCACCTCATCATAGGGACCTGGAGCACTAGGAGGACGAAAAGTACCAACTATGAAAAGACCTGATAATGAAGTGCACCTACTGCAAGCAACATAAAGCTCATTTCTTTTAAGCCCAGAAATTATATATACAGCGACTTTGGAGTAGGTAGCTCCTTGAGATTTATAAATGGTTATGGCTTCTGCCGGTACAAGAGGAAATTGTTTCCGTACGACACTGATAATAGCATTTGGTAGAGGGTGAATACGGCGAGCTTGTTTCTCAAGTGGAGTCAAATTGTTGAGGACCTCAGGTGGCCGCCACTGAAGAGCTTGGCGTGCAGCCTTACCGACCTCACTATCACCAAAGTCAATCCAAAGTCTGGTGGGAGCACCCTCTTCATTTTTCTCAACATGCTCCAGTGTCCCTATGGCCCCATTTACTAGTCCATCAGGAATACACACATTTACAGTGACCATGTACTT